GAGAAACAAGGCAAGACAACATAAACGATATCAAGAGAGAGAGACAGTCAGTAGCGACTGGCTAATGTACGCAAAACCTAAAGAAATCCTTTAAAAAATATCTACTGCAGCATACATAAACCCTTTATTACTATTGTTTGCACTCCCATTTTATTCGACCAGTCTTGAGAGGTTGAACACCATTGTGTTAACAAAACTCAATGACCTTGAGTCATTTTCGAGTCACTGGAGTATGATATTTAATTCTGATGTATGGATATACAAATTTGTAAACAAAACTAGTTTGCGGTAACGCCCATGTTAGCGAACAACCCATCTTTCTCACAGAATACAGCAGTTTCAAGTTGAATACCGATTTATAAACTTTGATGTCTTCGATAGTAACTGGCGTGTTAGAAGTCACTATCGGCTTGCTTCTTAATAAAGGCAGAGATAAAGTAACTGAAAGCCTTAGAGGAGGCGACGTAACAAATGAGACAGTTCGCAACTGGATCGTACGCGAAATCAGTGCAGTAAGTTCAAAGTTAAACGGATTAGCAAGAAAGGATCTGAACACAAGTATTAATCACTTTAGGACAGGCCTTGTCTATCTTTTTGAGGTGCTCAAAAAAACACAANAAACCTAAAGAAATCCTTTAATAAATATCTACTGCAGCATACATAAACCCTTTATTACTATTGTTTGCACCCCCATTTCATTCGACCAGTTTTGAGAGGTTGAACACCATTGTGTTAGCAAAACTCAATGACCTTGAGTCATTTTCGAGGCACTGGAGTATGATATTTGATTCTATTGTATGGATATTTAAATTTGTAAACAAAACTAGTTTGCGGCAACGCCCATGCCAGCGAACAATCCATCTTGTTCACAGAATACAGCAGTTTCAAGTCGAATACCGATTTGTAAAATTTGATGTCTTCGATAGTAACTGCCGTGTTAGAAGCCACTATCGGTGTGCTTCTCAATAAAGGGAGAGATAAAGTAACTGAAAGCCTTAGAGGAGGCGACGTAACAAATGAGACAGTTCGCAACTGGATCGTACGCGAAATCAATGCAGTAAGTTCAAAGTTAAACGGATTAGCAAGAAAGGATCTGAACACAAGTATTAATCACTTTAGGACAGGCCTTGTCTATCTTTTTGAGGTGCTCAAAAAAACACAATGTGGCGATGGCGGTTCGACAACAGAACAAAATTTAGTGGAAACGGACGGAAACAATTCCGAGGACAGGTTACCATCGTCCGTGACTGCTGTTAATATACCTGAGATTCTAAACAGGTGGAGGCTCGCTGACTTAAATGATGCCGATAACAGAGCGCTTTCGAATGCAAAGGAATGCTTCAAAGACGCTGGC